GAAGGGACTTCCTCTGAGAAACTGCTGTCTCATATGCCTGCTTATGGCATGAATGGCTGCTTTGACAGCTTGACAGTGGTTCATAGTTTAAGTTGTTTAAATACTTTTTAACTATGCAACATCCATTTTTTGAAAACACAAACTAAATTACTCAGTGAACATAAGTTCTGGGGTGCATTACAGAAAGATCCTAAAATTAGAATCCTGTCATGCAGGGGCGTAGGAATGAGTTTAACATTGGGGAAACGTATCGGAAACCTGACAGATCCGTTAATGGTTTGAACAGAAATATGTCATATATTAACTACACTGCAAAATATTCACCAACATACTTTATCTTTACAAATGTATCTTTTAGTAGAATAAAGGAAAACACATTTTGAATGGCAGTAATTAACTGATAAATATCAAATCAATTCTTTAATTGCAGGCCTAATCATCCAGTTTTGTAGATTAATAAATAACATATTGATCAAAATTTGAATTCAAATTTTCTGAATAAATTTTATTTTCTTAGTTGTATCTTATGCCTCGTCAGGCAAAAGAACGATTTGTTGGACCATTTTTTCTGCCAACCAAAAACCACCACAACGTTGCGCAACATCAAATGGCAAACGAATCGTTCGATTTGTAATGCGTACCAAACCGAAAGCCTCATGCCGAACGGTTCAATACGAATACGTGTATCGTTACACCCCTACTAGTTAGATGTTGAATCAAAACATCAGCTTAAAGGATTAGTTCACTTTAAAAAAAACTTTTGCTGCTAATTTACTCACCCCCATGTCATCCCTGATGCCCATGTCTTTTTTTCTTCAGTCGAAAAGAAATGAAGGTTTTTGATTAAAACATTCCAGGATTTTTCTCCATATAATGGACTTCAACAGGACCCAAACCTGTTCAAGGTCCAAATGACAGTTTCAGTGCAGCTTCAAAGGGCTTTAAACGATACCAGACGATGAATAAGGGTCTTATCTAGCGAAACGATCGGTCATTTCAAAAATAAATATAAAAGTTTAAGTTTTATAAGCACAAATGCTCGCCCCGCCCTTGCTGTCATGTCTTATTGTCAGAGCCAGCCAGGAGTCTGGTCTTAGCGAAAGAGGCTGAAGGAGAGAAATTCTGACTGAAATGGCTTTTAGCGCGACTTAAATGCAGTCGGCCCCGCCCATTTCGGTTGGCTGAAAAGCCATTTGTCTGTGCAAAGCACAGCCGTGAACCAATCAGGCTTCAGTATTCGGAGAAAACGAAGTTTCCCTATACGCATTCGAAACTGACGCAATGCGAGTGAACCGTATCGAAAGGGAACTATTAATATAAAAGTTGCTCTATTCAGCAATGTAGATGTTATATTGTCATTTTTTTTGTCAGCCATGGCGTCCTCCCGTGATCCTCCAGTGTTCTGTGACATCTGTGATGAAAGAAAGCAGAAAGCTGTGAAGACCTGCCTGACGTGTCAAAGCACTTACTGTGACTCTCATCTGGAGCCTCATCACAGAGTCCCGCGTCTAAAGAAACACACACTGATCAACGCTGTGGAAAATCTGGAGAATTATATATGCAAGAAACACGAGAGAACTCTGGAGCTGTTCTGTAGAGATGATCAGACGTGTGTTTGTCTGTCCTGCACTGAAGGAGAACACAGGACTCACAACACTGTTCCTATAGAGGAGGAGAGTCGAGAGAAGAAGGTAAAAATTAAAAACTAAACACTTTAACCCTTATAAGCTTAAAGGTCCCCTGACATGAAATTTTCACTTTCTGAGGTTTTTTAAAGGGGTCATATAATGGTACATGCACTTTTACAAGTTGATTGTACTGAAATGTGTGTTGGCAGTGCCTGTACACAAACATCATAAAATGATAAAAATCCATCCAGTGTTTTTTTTTTTAATCTCCTTATATGTTTTCCCCTGCCTCAAATCAAGCCGTTCGACCGTGTGACGTCACGCGGCCGGACGCCCCTCCCACGATTGTTGATTGACAGCAGCGTTTCAACACAGACCCGCCCTCGCTCATGAGCGAGATGTCAATCATAGTCCGTGGAGACCGGCGCGGTCATTGTTGATATGCTGGAGCACTGTCTATGAGCAGAATGGCGTCTAAGCGATTGTGGTGTTCTGTTCTTGGGTGTAATAACGAACACAGCAGTCATTTTAATGTTCCTGAATCTGAACCGCTGAAGACGCAGTGGTTGAGTTTGTTTTCGAAGGGAATATTCCCCACGAGCAACGTCAATGCTTTCATGTTTGCGCGAATCATTTCACACACCAGACTGCTTTATAAACGAGGGTCAGTATAAAGCTGGTTCTGCTAAGAAACTGCTCCTGAAGAAAGGATCGGTACCAGCTATTCGTGTTCCTGCTGAACCTCCAGAAGAACCGAAGTGAGTGTAACGTTTTATTAACCTTTATATTAATATTTATGTGCGCCCCCTACCTGTCTCACTTGTAACTAAATAGGACAGCACTCCAGATTCATGAACTAAATGCCTACAGATGTTGAAGTTAGGCATCTCTGAAGTCACAATGTATACTTTTCTTTTGGAAAGTTACGAATGATTAAATCTATACGCACCTTATCTAATCAAGTCCACATAAACACTTTTGAAAGAATAAAACACTGGTAAAAGTACAAAAACATATAGGATTTAATTGGAATAGAGTTATAGAATGTTAACTAGCTCAAAACATGAATTTCATCAAATCACTTTAATCAAATCACTCTCTTACTGCAAGCGCGTCTCTCTCATTTTCGTGTCTTTCACTCTCCCACCACACTTGTCAAACAAAAACTCTCATCTCCCGTTTTATTAAACTTTATAACGTTATATTATATAAAAAGGTTTACACTCAGGGTACATTACGGCATGTTTTCTATGTATGACGTTCTCAATATAATTCATAAACCCACGTTTATACTGAACAACGCGTTATGGTTATTGTGTTATTGTGTTACAAAAGGTGTGCACAGAACAGAGAGGCGGAGTGAGGAAAGCTCATTATCATTTAAAGTCATATGCACTGAAACGGCGTGCTGAAAATAGAGCTGTTTTTGTCCAGGTAAAATAAGTGTTTTCTTACAATACTAATGAGAATTTTTAATTAAAGTATATTACAAACTTTTAATTTAGACCCTAAAGAATCATATTAGCTTGTACAAAAATGGCATTATATGACCCCTTTAACATTAATATTAGTTCCCCTAGCCTGTATTTGGTCCCCTCGTGTCTAGAATTTTCAATCGGTGTAAACCGAGCTTTGGCTATTTTTCTCTTCTCTGCAGCTCAGACGCGCTGATCTTGAATCTCCTCGTTATGACGTCATAACGAGGAAAGGTTACCTCCCCTTTCTCTGCTTTGCCCGCCCGGAGAATTTGGCTCGCCTATGAGAAAACGAGCTAGGAACAGGAAGTACGAACGCGCCGGCGCGATTTTAGTTTTTCCTAGAGAAATAGCTTTGAGATTTGAGTTTTTCCTCGAGAGATATCATGGCTTGCAAACGAGCGAAGCATGGCAGTTGATCAGTGTTCGGATGTACAAATGAACACAAAAGTATTTTTTAGTTCCTTTATCCGAGCCTCTGAAGAAACAATGGGTTAATTTTATTTTCTCTGGAAATGCGCCGACACAACTTCCCAAAGTTTTGTATGGTCCAACATTTCACCGACGCACGTTACACTGCACAACGAAGCTCTTACTGTATGTACATCATCGTGTTTGCATTGGTGAAAGCATTAGAGAGAGTGCAGAAACTGCGTTGCAAAGATAAGATCTTCATGCTTGCGATCAACAGACTCATCTGCTTGCTCAATGCTCATCACTGCAACATTTTATGTGATGGGAATAGATCTTAATACTTTAAAAACTTCTCACTATTCGTTAATCTCGATAGCTGTAATAGTAAAAACGTATAATATTTGTAGTAAAAGTATTCGAGAAAGTTTTGCATGTAATACATAGCTATTTCATATGCAAGCATGTCAGCCAATCACAGCAGTGGCTGGCTACACTGAATCCCACAGCAGATACACCCCTTCAAAATCAGAGGCTAAAATCAGGCTAGGAAAATTGCCTTTTATTTCTAAATTATGACTACTTTTGATCTAAAAAACATACTAACATTATAAGGGCAACCCAGGAAACATTATAAAATAATAAAATAACCCCATGTCAGGGGACCTTTAATAACCTTATAAGGAAGACACATGGGCTCTTCCTAGTTATTTTTGAACTGTGAGTGTAACTTGTTGTTTTTTAAAGTGTTATAAAAATGAATTCCCTAAAGCACACTGTAAAAAATATGATCAGTAAGTCATGGCAAGCTATGTTTTTACATAATGTTTAGGCTACTCATCAAAATATTTTAAACAATTTCAACTTTAAAGTTATACAAGATTCAACTCGATTTTTTAAAAGTCAGTTTAATATAATATAAGTTAAAGTTACTTGTACAGCGATTTGAATATGCTAAAAAATAGAAATTTATAGTAAAGTTTACAGTGTAGTAACAATAAAATTATGCACTTTTGGGGGATTTTAGGTAATTTAGTTCATAGATCTTATGTAAATTTCTTTATTTCAGTATCATTTGTATGAACAAATACAACATTTTTGGACCTTAAAGGGGCATTCGGCAACTCTAGCTATTTCTTCGTTGATTTTCACTTTTGTTGTCGCATGTTTTGTCAACGAGCTCCCCCTACAGCTGTGAGGCGTATATTTCACAACAATGTCGTAAAAAAACTCACTTGCGGCACCCTCCTCCCGCTTTCTACCGCTGCTCATGTGCATTTGTTATTATCGGAGCCTGCCAACTTTATCGTGTGGAGCTATGTCTACCGAGGTGGGTAATATATCATACACATTGAGGGCGGCGTGTGTGTTTATGTCGAATTGCTGTAAAGCAGTTTGTGTTTCTCGCTTGTTCTCGCTTCTCACGAGACTTCCTATTTCCACCTCTGGAGAAATTGAAGAAGCGTTCATGGCCCAGACACATATAATGACCATTGCTGTAACTGGGAGTGCAATCAACGGTGGGAGAACCAATGAGACCTCCAAACTCTATACCACCGGATTCGGATGCACTAGACTCAAGGACGATGTCAGGACCACTAAGATGCCAACTGCTCGCATCGACATCAACGGTAGATCCGTTGATGGACTGGTAGGAAGCCAGTCTCAAACGCCTAAGGACCACCTTTATAGCTTTTTTGGAGCGTTGATGTTGTCTGGAGACTCTGGATTTGGGACCACTGGACTCGGAAGTGCTGTGAGCACTGGACCTGGGATCATCAGACTTGCTGAATCAGAATTGCTGGAAACCGTTGTGCTAACATGTTAAATGGCTTGATGCACACAACCCCCCACAAAAAATAAAAAAATTTAGGGGAAGGTTCCTCCTCTACTTCCTCCACATTAAAAGGAGAACCGCTCAGCTGCAATGACAAATCAATAGTCCAATCAAGTCCAGTCTGGGTCATGTAGCATCATAATTGCATTGAGTGGCTCAGACAACCCGCCCCCAAAAAAGATCATATGGGGAATCTTGTTCATGTTGGTTAAGTGAGCCTACTCAATGTCCAGTACATGGTCCTTGATGCTGCGCTCTCCTTGTCGGAGATGCATAATTCTCACTGGTGGATCCATTTAGTAGTCTTCTGTCACAAACTGCTCTGAAGACTTGGGTTGACGATCCAAATGCAGCTTTATTGGGACAATCCAGAATCATAATCCATACAACAGGCATGGGGTCAAAACCGTAGAGCAAACAATCCAAATGTACGATAGAGTCCAAAAACACAGGCAAACAAGGATATCCAAGACAAGGGAAACCAGGTTACAGGCACTCAAAATAGGCAGACTTTAACAAGGGTAATCACACACAGCTAAACAAAATTACACAATCATGAACAGTTAATTTTCCATAATGGAAAAGCCCAGGAGTCAGGAGGAGTGCCCTCTGTTGGAGATTAAGGGCACTCCAGCTGGTGGATTTGACTGTCGTAACCGTAATTAAGAGATGGCAACCCGTGACGTTCTACCCTGAGCAGATTTATGCGTTTCTATGTTAACAGTATCAATGCCGAAATGAATCTACAGCAGTCAGGTGGAACAAGTAAGAGCTCTAAAAGTTATTTATATTCATTATTATTGTAATGTGATGTGCTTTGAGACATAAGGTAATTTAACGCAGTCTCTCATCTGATGCATTGGAGACACAATGAAGGAAGGGTGGGATCAAAGCTAGCTGGCTAATGCTAGCCACTCTGAAATTGCCTGCCCTACCTTTAAACTGCCAATAGTTTTTTTTTTACTTTTAAGAAAAAAAATGTTATCCTCAAAGACATGTACTAAACGCCACAGAATTTTGAATTCATTTTGTCTTTTATACGATTTTATTCAAAGGATGAAGATATCTGTGTTTCTCTGTATGTAGACTGCCGTTCGTCAGATGATCCAGGACAAAATGAAGATGATTCAAGAGATCCAGCACTCAGTAGAGCTGAGAAAGGTGAGTGGAGGTTAAAACGTAAAATTGATAATGCATTATAATATTTTAATCAGCTTCATAAAGGTTTTCAATTAAATGGATAAAACTTAATAGATTAACCTTCTAATCATTCTCATTTATCAGAAAAACACAGAGAAAGATAAATCCTCCAGTGAAAAGATTTTCAAAGTTCTGATCTTCTACATTGAGAAATGTCAGTCTGATCGGATGGAGATGATAGATGAACAGCAGAAAGCAGCAGAGAAACAGACTGAAGATCTCATTAAAGAGCTGCAGCAGGAAATCACTGAGCTGGAGCAGCTCTCACACACTGACGATCATCTCCATCTCATACAGGTCTGTCAACATATCTCATCAGTCATCATGTACAATTGACCTATGGCTAAGCCACACCCCCAAACGCGATGAGCCAATCACAGTGTGCACAGCTAACCCAATACACTCGGACATTCTCTGCTTCTTCGTCCATTGAAATGCATTGCAGTTAGCCAGTTTTCATTTGTTTTTATATGTTTTTTCTTGTCATTTTGGTGGTCAAAATGGTCAAATGGTGTGCATGGAGTACATGCAACTCAAGCACTAGGTATCCCGAGAGGCTGGGCGACGGTGTGTATTTTTTACCCTTTCCCAAGCCAGATCTCAACCGAGAACCGAGATAAGTGTCTGGATTAAGTTAAGCGGTAGACCACAACACCAACTAAACGTGGATAAATTAAACAAGGATTTCTACATCTGTTAAGATAAGATAAGTCAACAACGTATGTGAACGTTATCTTTAACATCTCTAACGTAACGTTAGCCTAACATTAAAAAACGTTAGCTTCTAGCTGCGTTGTACATCATGTCACTTAGCTTCATTAACGTAGAACTGTAGAACTGTGTCAAAAGCAGCAGACAGATCCAGCAGGATGAGAACTGAGGATTTGGAAGCTGCTCTTGCCAGTCTCAGTGCTTCAATTACTGAGAGCAGGGCAGTCTCAGTTGAGTGTCCGCTTTTGAAACCAGACTGATTGTTGTCCAGTAGTTTGTTCTGTGTAAGAAAGGAAGAGATCTGGTTGAAAACAACTCATTCAAGTGTTTTCGTGATGAATGGAAGAAGGGATACCGGTCTGTAATTTTCCAGATGTGCTGGATTTAGAGTGGGTTTCTTAAGCAGTGGGGTTACCCGAGCCTGCTTAAAAGTTGTGGCAAAGGTACCAGTGTGAAGAGGTGTGTTTATGATGTGCATGAGTGCGGGTAGAACTGAGGAAGAAATGGCTTGAAGTAAATTAGTGGGAGTAGGATCAAGCGGACAGGTGGTAGGGTGATTGGAAAGGAGGAGTTTGGAGACTTCTGCCTCTGAAAGTAGAGAGAAGGAGGTTATAATGTGTGCGTTAGCTGGTAAAATGTGTGCATCAGTTTGTGGATTGGTAAATTGGCCGCTGATGGTGGCTGTTTTATTTATGAAGAATGTGGCAAAATCGTCAGCTGTTAGGGTTGATGAGGGAGGAGGGTTGAGAAGAGAGGAAAAGGTTTTGAAAAAACATGCGAGAGTCAGAAGAATTCTTAATTTTGTTGTGGTAGTAAGTTATTTTAGCAGTAGAGATATTAGCAGAGAAGGAAGCGAGGAGGGATTGATAAAGACCAAGGTCAGTAGGATCTTTTGATTTTGGTTTTAGCGTATTCGGCATGCCACGGATGTTGGTATCAGACAATGGACCTGCCCTGGACAGCACCCTTCCAACCCCCCTCAAATGGGTTCACGAAAAGAGTCGTGCAGGCCTTTAAAGCTGGTCAGAGGCAGAAACTTTGGATACAAGAGTGTGTAGATTCCTGTTCAATTATAGGATTATACCACAAACTACAACTGGTTTGTCCCCTGCCGAAATGATGATGTCCAGACGTTTAAGATCAACTTTTGATTTGCTTCTACCGGACCTGGCAGCCAAAGTGCTAAAGAAACCACTCAAACAGAAAGAAGACCATGACAGCACTGCTGACTTTTTGAGTGGGTGATCCTGTGTATGTGAGAAATTATAGCTACGGGCCACAATGGATTCCTACTGTGGTTGAAAGTTGTACCATTCTGCTGTCTTATGCTGCCTTGACAGTAACAGGACAGACCTGGAAAAGGCATGTTGATCAGGTTTGCAGGAGACACTGTTCCGGATTCTGCAAATTATTATTATTATTATTTTTTTTTAAATACACCAGGTATTGGAGAGGGAATCGGACATCCTGTGAGCAATGTATCTGTAGAGCCAGGGGAACAGAAATGACTGTAATAGGAAGGGCCTGATCCTCCTAATGTTGTGCAAGGCAAATCTACATGATCGGGCAGTTTTAGCAATATGGTCTGTGAAGTTCAATTGATCATCAATTACACAACCCCAAGGTTCCTGCCTTGATGGAGTTATGGATGATGTGCCTAGCTAAGTTGTGATGAAGTGTTGAGTTGGCCGGGACCACAAGTAGCTCTGTCTTTGCAAGGTTTAGTTGAAGGTGGTGGTCCTTCATCCAGCCAGAAATGTCTGTCAGGCAGGCCGAGATGCGAGCAGCTACCGTCGGATCGTCAGGCTGGAATGAGAGGTAGAGTTGTGTGTCATCAGCTTAGCAGTGATAGGAAAAGCCATGTTTCTGAATCACAGATCCTAGTGATGTCATGTGAGACAGAGAGACACTGTTCCGGATTCTGCGAATTATTATTATTATTATTTTTTTTTCAAAATACACCAGGTATTGGAGAGGGAATCGGACAGCCTGTGAGCAATGTATCTGTAGAGCCAGGGGAACAGAAATGACTGTAACCAGTGTCACAAGAAGAGCCTGAGGCTGATACTGAACAATTTCAAAAGGCATGGAAAGCAGATGCTCTTCTACCAGTGTTGTTGACCACAAGGAGGTCACCCAGAGTAAAAACGTGAACCAAGATATCTGAAAGATTTTGTTAAACAATTCAGCAAGATTATCTGGTATAAAAAAAAGAAAGAAGGCAAATTGACAGTTGATATGTTTGGGAATGTTTTAGCTTTAAGGGGGAGAGATGTATTAGATGGAGTACAATTCTAGCCGTTCCAGTTGTTACCGCTAGGGGGAGAATATGCTTGTGTTGTGTGGGAATTACCTGTTGCAGTGGAATGTTCTGTCCTGTTGGATAGTCAGGTCATGCTGGTGTAATCCTATAAAATAAGCACAGTCACTCCTGCATTCCTCTCTCTATTGTTTTTTTATACTAAGTTACCCCAGTAATAAAGTCCAATTTGAAAAATTAGTTAACTGTGTTAGAAAGGTATTGTGTAAAATATAATTACTTGAAATATAAATTAATAACATATTTAACAGTCTTGTCTTTCCTGCTGTAGATGAGCTCATCCCTGGACAGTCGTCCCCACACCAAGAACTGGACTGAGATCAGGATTGACTCTGGTGTGAACTCTATGTATAGAGCTCTTGCTCAACTGAAGAAAACTCTAGATACAATACTGGAAAAACACAATCCAACTGGTATGTGAATTTCAAATACAGTAGATTTTTGCCAGTAACAAAGAAATACATTTTTTCAAGGAATATTATGGGTTAAGTGGCGGCTGGTCAATAAAGGGCGCTAGGGCACCGCCCTCTCTGAGCCACACACACAAAACAATAATAATAAATTATGTAAATTGATATGTGTATGATATGATAGAAAATCATCTGTGCAAAATATAAGCTTTTCCTATATGTCCACTCTGCCTGTCCGCATGTCTCAAGTTCACCTCTGGGGCGCTAGACAAATCACCCACAGGAGGCGGGTTTATGTAGCAGTTTAGCCAGTTGTTGTGAACATTTAAAGATGACACAAAATTTAGCCAATCAGCGATCTCAAATCTTCTGACAAAATCAGACTGTCAAATGGTGATTTTCTCTATCAACCCCAACGAGAAACTGCTAAAGTCAAAACTAGTCTGTATGGTCTGAATAAAGCAAACAAGCACACCAGTAAAGTTTTGATGGATGACAATTGTAATCAAGGTAAAGACGATTACATTGGCATACATACAGGCACGTGCAAGTCCGTTTTTATTAATGTGAAACAAGCAGTGTTTTCGTAACGTAGGCCAGTAGGCGCTGTGTGTGTATACCTCACTGTAGTCTTTAGCGTCTTGTTAGCTCGCCCGGCTTCTTTCCCAACACTCCGGTACGAATCCTGCTCGAGGGTTGATTAAATCCAATTTAAACTTAGTTTGTAAAGGGTCACACTGTTTCAAAAATGTAATCATAACACATGTAGAGGGGTTTTGGCTAATGTGCTGATCAGGTGATTGTGCTCGCCCCAGGGTGTCAATCAAAACACATCACAGGATTCAGAATCTTCTCATCTTTACTTGGTATTAGTGTGTACAGTGGTGTGAAAAAGTGTTTGCCCCATTTGTAAATATGATCAGAGATGGCTGTAAAAAATAAATCTGCATTGTTAATCCTTTTGATATTTTATTTAAAAAATTTGAAAAAATCTAACCTTTCATTGAAGTAAAAGAATTGAAAGTTGGGGGAAAATCACATTATGAAATAAATATTTTTCTCCAAAACACGTTGGGAACAATTATTTGCCCCCTTTTATTAAATACTTTTTGCAACCTCCTTTTTCCAAGATACCAGCTCTGAGTCTTCTCCTATAATGCCTGATGAGTTTAGAGAACACCTGACCAGAGATCAGAGACCATTCCTGCATACAGAATCTCTCCAGATCCTTCAGATTCCCAGATCCATGTTGATGCTTCTTCTCTTCAGTTCAGCCCACTCATTTTCTATAGAGTTCAGGTCAGGGACTGGGATGGCCATTGCAGATGCTTGGTTTTGTGCTCAGTGACACATTTTTGTTTTGATTTTGATGCTTGTTTTTGGATCACTGTCCTGTTGGAAGATCCAACCACAGCCCATTATAAGATTTCTAGCAGAGGCTGTCAGGTTTTGATTTTTTATCTGTTGGTATTTGAACGAATCCATGATGCCATATATCTGAACAAGATGTCCAGGACCTCTGGCAGAAAATTAGGCCCACAACATTAAAGATACAGCAGAGTATTTCATTCTACACATGGGGTACTTTTTTATCCCTGTGTGCACCAAACCCACATTAAGTGTTTGCTGCCAAAAAGCTCTTTTTTTTGTTTCATCTGACCATAGAACGTTTGAAAAGTAACTGACACTACAGGAACTTCAAATGGGACGGGTTCTATGGTCAGGTGAAACAAAACAATTAGCTTTTTTGGCAGCAAACACTTAAGATGGATTAGGTTCATACAGGTATAAAAAGTACCCCATGTGTAGAATGAAATACTCTGCTGTATCTTTAATGTTGTGGGCCTAATTTTCTGCCAGAGGTCCTGGACATCTTGTTCAGATATATGGCATCATGGATTCGTTCAAATACCAACAGATAAAAAATCAAAACCTGACAGCCTCTGCTAGAAATCTTATAATGGGCTGTGGTTGGATCTTCCAACAGGACAGTGATCCAAAAACAAGCATCAAAATCAAAACAAAAATGTGTCACTGAGCACAAAACCAAGCATCTGCAATGGCCATCCCAGTCCCTGACCTGAACCCTATAGAAAATGAGTGGGCTGAACTGAAGAGAAGAAGCATCAACATGGATCTGGGAATCTGAAGGATCTGGAGAGATTCTGTATGCAGGAATGGTCTCTGATCTCTGGTCAGGTGTTCTCTAAACTCATCAGGCATTATAGGAGAAGACTCAGAGCTGGTATCTTGGAAAAAGGAGGTTGCAAAAAGTATTTAATAAAAGGGGGCAAATAATTGTTCCCAACGTGTTTTGGAGAAAAACATTTATTTCATAATGTGATTTCCCCCCAACTTTCAATTCTTTTACTTCAATGAAAGGTTAGATTTTTTCAAATTTTTTAAATAAAATATCAAAAGGATTAACAATGCAGATTTATTTTTTACAGCCATCTCTGATCATATTTACAAAGGGGGCAAACACTTTTTCACACCACTGTATATGTATGTGTGTGTGGTATTTTATCATGAACGCACACACAGAAGATAAACACTGAAGGTTAAGATACAGGAAGATATGATGCCCGTTCTTCTCTTGACTCCACTTGCTAGCTATTCAGGAAGTTTCTAACTCGCCACCTAACGTCATATCAGCGTCACCAATAAGTTTGTCGCTGATTGGTTAGATCTCCTTAACTAACCCTGTTAAGGAGTTAGTTAAGGAGATTAGTACATAGTTGTCTAGTACATAGACAACTAACCCTGTCTATGTAAAGTTCTATTCATGTAAACTCATATTAAAGCAGTATTACTTTAACGACAAGAAAAGGATGTAACTCTGTGTTCAAACTGTAAAAATACATAATGTCTAAAAAAAAGTTTGCCACCTCACAAGGACAATTTAGACACTTTACAGCTCAAATAACAAATTTTTACTGAATTATTAATTAAAGAGCTTTCATAAAATGTACAAGCTTCACATTCTATTAAATCCTCAATGTTTGGTTCATAGACCTTCATTACAGTATGTTTACTGTAAACACATTCTGCATTTTATTTTACAAACTGGGGGACGAGCAGCATTTACATGCCACTGATGCTGCCGATAGAGAGAAACTCACTGTTAACCTGAAATTACTGCTATAAATAATTCATCATTATATTGTCATCTGTGTCCACAGGGTTGAAGTCTGTACAGAAGTATGCAGGTACAGTGTGACTAACACCATTTTCTTCAATACACAATACAACAATACTGTTAATAATCTGTATTTTATACTGTACATCTGAAAATATTTTTTATATTTGTAAATAAGTTGATTGATAATGTCTGATCTCTCTCAGTGGATGTGACTCTGGATCCTGATACAGCGAATCCATATCTCAACCTGTCTGATGATCGAAAACAAGTCAGTTGTGGAGACATTGAGCAGGACGTCCCAAAAAACCCAAAGAGATTTGATGTGGTTTGTTGTGTTCTGGCAAAGGAGGGATTCAGTTCAGGGAGATTTTACTATGAGGTGCAGGTGACGGCAAATACTGATTGGACTTTAGGAGTGATCAGAGAATCCATTAACAGGCAGGAGGACATCACACTGAGTCCTGAGAATGGAGTCTCGACTGTAATTTTGAGGAATGAAAATGAATATTTAGCTTGTGATTATCCACCTGTCTCTTTATCTCTGAGAGTGAAACCTGAGAAGGTTGGTGTGTTTGTGGATTATGAGGAGGGTCTGGTCTCTTTTTATGACGTGGAGTCCAGATCTCATATCTACTCTTTCACTGCTCAGACTTTCACTGAGAAACTCTATCCAGTGTTTAACCCATGTCCCAATTGTAAAGGTAAAAAATCAAACCCACTGATCATCACTCCTGTCAGTTTAAATTAAAAACAAATCTGAGAAAATTGCTGTTTTCATATTTAAAAAAAAAAGAAAAGAATTTGCACAAATCACAATCAAGAAGTTTTTACTTACAATATGGGATACACAAAATGTGCTAAAAAAGAACTGTATATTCAGGCCCTCAAAAATCAGTCACTAACAAAATATCAACTATAATTAAATTATGTTAAAAAAATATATAAAAAATTATTCATCTGTTAGATTTGAATGGCCGATTTATTACGAGGCACATCAGTTCATATGTGTGTGGGGGTTTGTGTCTATTTTACACTCTTGATATTTTGTCACTCCTTCATTGTTGTACAGTTTTTGCTGCATCGTGACTAATTTGTAGATTGTACACACATAAGATTCTCTGTATTTTCATATTTTTGCCTATTGTTTATCAATAGAAGAGCAGCTTCCTTTATCTCAGGGTCACAAGAGGGCGCAGAAGGCAGTGTGTGACGCTGTGCCTTGCCACTCTCATCCCCCTCTCCTATCGCCAACAGTTGGGTCTTAGTTACAAACTTGAACCAGACCTGAAGCCAAGGCTATTCATTTAACATTAATCCGAAACCGGTGAGTTTTTCGGGACCCATCGGGCTCGGGTCGGGTAGCAGACCTCTACCCCCATCCCATCTTACTGGCTCATTCGGACCATCAGACTCTGCTATACGATTCAGTTCACAAGTTCTTATGGCCCGAGACTGCAGTCCTACTGGCGACGGACAAGATCGCACTGGTCCCTCCAACTGATATGAAGTTAGGCTTCTACAGCCCTTGCTTTATTGTATCCTAGAAAGGCGGTGGATTACGGCCAATCTTGGACCTGCAAGTTTTGAATCGGGCCCTTTTCAAGCTCCCGTTTCAAGCAGCACCAAGTAACTTTTCCTCAGCAGTCGCCCTATAGGTTGGAAGCGGAATTGTCCATTACCGCTGTCGTAAATAATTTAGCCTACCGCAGCCTACTGTCGCACGCGCACGCACATGCTATCTGTTTATCCAGCACCGGCTTTGGAATCAATCAATGGCCACAGACAAGGTAGAGTATGATGTGTGATTTTATGAAAGTATGATGTATTGCGACATCACAAACGAGCAATTGTGACGCTTGCCGTCAAGCAAGTCAAATTAGTAGTTTTCTTATGTCTCATTAGAACTACAGAAACGTGACCCGATCTGGCAATCTTACATAGCGTGGATATATCAGATAAAGGACCGCAAAGCTGTGGCATAAGTGCATTTCACCATGCCACAACTTGATGAACCACTGAACTGATTTTGGAAACATTTATAACCAACACATGCTACACTGAGTAAATGCTAATTAATCATCTGTTTGTAAGGAGGGTTATCAGCATAAACATAAGTTTTAATCCAATGAGTAAATAAAAACAGTAATGAAAACACCTTTTCTGACTTTCTATAAACACCAAATAGACTCATAACCAAGCAACCATATTCAAACAGTGGTACCAAAAACACCCAGTACACAAAGACATCTATGGTTCTGTAGATGACTTAAAGACTGAAATATATATTACTAGGACTTCATCACATTCACAGTTGGAGAAAGTTAAGTTGAGAGTGTGAATGTCGGATGCAAGTCTTAACTGCTGGAGTAAAAGGAGTAAAAAAGGATGTGGAGGCTTGATGAAATCCAACGAAGCGTGACCTTAGTCCAACATATAGCTCTCCCGTCAGAGGAAATCCATAATGGTAATCAAACTGTCAAATGTAGCTATTTCCAACCATGAACTTCGTATTAGTCCTCAGATGTGGAACAATCCCAAGCAGGACCACAAAGTTGGCACAAATATTGATTCAGCATATACCAAAAAAGTCCTTCTACAAAACACAAAAATGCCTCCTGTTAATTATCTGCATTAAAGCCACTATATTTAATAAGCACAAAAAATAATCTTTCACTAGAAAATAAAACTTCAACATATACATTTTACTTACAGTTGAGCATGAAACAGAAAGTTTCCCAACCAGGACTTTGTTTGAACAAGGAGGTCAGCCATGATAATTTCTTCTACCGCTCACCTGTCTCTTTATCTACGCCCCCAGGTCTCACTAATACCCCTAGTGGTGAGGAGTGTGATGGCAGTTTAAAAAAACTCAGTAACTGACAGGTGTCTGTTACACATTATTTTAAGGTAAAAAATCTTACTTAGTGCTGCTTTAACATGTTAATGCAGAAACGCATTTTCAAATGCATCCGTATCTGAGATTAGTTTGCAGCGATTGACCTGTGTACTTTCATGTCTCGGTTCTCCCTCAACACAGACCGTTCCTTTGCTTTGTGTTCGAGGGTCGGGCATTTCAGTACAAAGTCCCCCCTTTCAGGCTGTCCCTGAAGCCTCTTGTCTTCACAAAGATCATGTTCCTATGAGAGAACACGGCGTTCGCATCCTCAACTACCTTGACGACTGGCTAATACTGGCCAAGTCGCAAGAGCAGTTGTGTGAACACATGGACCTGGTGCAGTCACCTCAGCCAGTTGGGGCTCCGGGTCAACTAGGAAAAGAGCAAACTCTCCCCCTGTTCAGAGGATCTCTTTTCTCGGTATGGAGATGGACTCGGTCAACCTAACAGCACGCCTCACTGAGGAACATGTTCAGTCGGTGTTAAACTGCTTGAATTCACTCAAGAGCAGGACAGCGGTCCTATTTAAACACACTCAAGTTTGTATTTATTTATTTATATAGCACATTTAAAAACAGCAATCAGGGCTGACCAAAGTGCTGAACAATACACAAGATAAAGAGCAAGGACAAACCACACATTCAAGACAAAGGCAAGGCAAGTTTATTTATATAGCACATTTCATGGTAATTCAAAGTGCTTTACATAGAAGAAATTAAAATAATCAAAGCAAATAAGAATAATTAAAACAGTTTAGAGTAAAAAATAAAGTACAGTACAGTAAAAACAGTCGGACACAGTGGCACAGTGCTCATTCAGTAAATGCATAGCTAAACAGATGTGTTTTGAGTCTGGATTTGAATGTGACTACTGTAGGAGCACATCTGATCTCCTCTGGAAGCTGTTCCAGCATAATAGCTAAAAGCAGACTCTCCATGCTTAGAGTGAACCCTTGGTATTTCTAGCTGATGTGATCCTAATGATCTGAGTGATCTGTTGGGTTTATATTCAGTGAGCATATCTGCAATATATTGAGGTCCTAGCCCATTAAAATATTTACATTCCAGTAATAATACTTTAAAGTCAAACCTAAATGTAACTGGGAGTCAGTGTAGAGACCTGAGGACTGGTGTGATATGTTCATATTTTCTGGTTCCGCTCAGAATCCTGGCAGCAGCGTTCTGTATGAGCTGCAACTGTCTTTGATCTTTTTAGGAAGGCCAGTGAGGAGTCCATTACAATAATCCACCCTGCTGGTGATGAAAGCATGCACAAGTTTCTCTAAGTCTTGATTGGAAACAAAGCATCTGTGGAACAGCTGAGTTGACCTGACCTGACCTGACAAAAGGTCACAATGAGTTAAAAGCTAAAGAAAAAAAATAGGTTTTAAGAGAAGATTTAAAAACAGTTAAAGATTTAGCAGCTCTGATGTAAACCGGAAGGCTGTTCCACAGCCTAGGGCCAGCAACAGCAAAGGCTCTGTCCTCTCTATTCTTTAACCGTGATCTGGGGACAGACAGAAGTCTCTGATCACCAGACCTCAGGTTTCGTGTGGGGTTGTGTGGGCAGAGTAGCTCAGACAGATAGCTTGGTGCCAGGCAGAGCCGGCCCTAGACCTTTGGGGGCCCTAAGCAAAATTTGGTTGGAAGCCCCTTTGACCGTTTTAAGGCCTAAAGAAAAGCAATGACTACCTTATAACTATACCATACTATATAACTATATTATACTGTATATACTATGTTTGATGTCTAACAGGAAAATTATGATACCACTGAGCTGAATGGCAGTGCAAGACACACACACACACACACACACTGATTAACTTGCTGAATAAAAAGACAGATAAAGTGATTTTCACTGAACAAAGATACATTTTTATTGACACCAGAGTTTAAGAGTCACAAACTACAGCACATATATATATATATATATATATATATATATATATATATATATATAAATTAAATAGAGCAAATATAATAACATTTAAATATAATATTATATAAAATAATAAATAGATTTTTCAAATAAACTAAATTGACAATAACATCTAAAACACCACAAAGAAGATCAATAGTAACAATATCAAGAATAAGGTAACATTTCAATATAACTATTTAAATCCAATCCAAATAAAGAAAATAATTATACATAAAGTTAGACTTAAATTTTAAAATGCAGAAGGTTATCATTTTACAGCCCCTTTATACTCACCAACAGCTGGAGCTTTGCTTACTGGCAGCATATAACGTTACTTTAATAGTGCTCCTAAGGGGACATAAGGAGTAAACTAATGTTAGCCCTTTAGTGTAGAATCCAAACTGGGTTTATATTGTTCTGTTATGCTTTAACAGTAACACCACAGCAAATGGTATAGGCCTAATACTAAACCAATTTTATGCAGCATGTTATTAGCATGTAAGTTAAACAACTGTAGAAAATTAATACAAGCACGATTTAGGCTAATGTTAATATAAGACTTTTAGTGCAAATTATCCATATTACAGAAATCGGAAAATTAAGCCTACAGGCTCACGTACCTTTATCTTCTTGCTTCTTCTCTTCTTCCAGGCTCTTTTTTGTCGTTTTTCTTGGCCAGAAAGATATTTTCGTTTCTTGTCAGACATCGTCGATTCGTCGGAGTCGCTAACTGACTGACCAAGTGACAACGAGTGACATCATAGGGGCAGTCGGGATCAAGACGCGCGCGCGCCTTCGCGGGGAGCTCCCGGTTGATTTGCCATAATACAAAACTAAATAAATAACAACTCTGTGCTTATCATGATGCCTGATAAAGAGCGCTGTAGGTCCATTTCTTTTTATTTATTTATTTTATGTTACTTTTGTTGTGC